CGAAATTAATCGGAATCAACAGAGTCATCATTCTCAGGGGCGTGAAGGAAAAGATATTTGCACATGTTTTCTGTTTTAGACTCTGGACAGATTCACAAAACGATCTATGCAGCCTTTCTGTACGAACGTGACTTTTTTAGCTCCTTTCAATGAAACCAACATGTTTTAGAAGAATCCTGAATCACGCAATCTGTCAAACGCTGATTATCCTGACTAAGCCACCAGCTCAATTTCCTCCTCTTTGATTGGAGATGGGTCTATGATTCTCTGCTCAGGATCGATGGGGGGCTGCTGGTGCCTCCCCCTTTTGTTTGGAGATTTGTGCCCACTCGACGGGCCATCAATCACAGGAGTGGCACTCAGTGGGCCCGGAGCTCCAGCATGGATCAGATACATTACCGCAGGCTTGGGTTTCACAGATGAAACCCAACCTACCTACATGACTGATAGAGGAGCGTCAAGACTGATAAGATTAGTCATTAGCTGTGGCTACATCAAGAAAAATGCACTAAGCTTTAAAGGATCTTTGGCCAAATTGCTATTTTAAACCTAACATCTTGTCATTACAAAACATATTTAGCCAACAACCCCCCCCCCCCAATAATAAAATGTCATTAGAAAAAAAGGAAAACGTACCGTCTGCTGGGTAAGAAGCATCTTTGTGCCAAACAAAGTGAGCACTAACAGCAAACAGCAATCTTTTGAGGTCTTATTAGTTTATTAACTGAAGGTTGGCCAGCCGCTGCTAAAACGGGATATTTGTCCTTTCCCATACATAATTTGAAAGTTGGAAATGGTTATCCGAGTGACAAATGGCCAAAATTAAAAACAATATGCACCCGAGATCAGTTGATGTGCTTGTGTTGTGTTGACAGTGAGCCGCAGCAAGATTAGCTGGGACGGAACAAAAAGGTTCCCTGTCCCCCGGTGTCCCCCGGTAATTCATGGCCTGTCTGAAGGGGGCTTAGAGCCCCCTTCAGACAGGCCATGAAAAACGGAAATGTTCCGGAATCTGTCCGTAAGACCTTTCTGTCTGAATACAAACATCCGGATAACGTGCTCCGGAATTTATCCGGACGAAGCCCCTAGTAACAGGTCCGGACTTGTTACGGACAGGGTGGCTGCTTCAGACTGGTGAGGTAAAGTTCCGGACAAGAGGGAGGGGACCGGGGGACGCTGTGCGCACCTAGATAGCCCGCTGCTGTAGCATGCGGCGAACCACGGCAGCTCGCCTCCTACGGTACTGCCTAGACGCGCGACGGAGCGCTTCACACCGCTTCAGTGATTCCTTTAACCATTGAGCTTCATCATCCAGGTCTCCTATGAATCTTCGTGTGCGCAGAATTATGCTTAAGCGCCTCGTGATTTTTTATCTTGAGAGGCGCTATAGAAATGATATTTTCTTCTTCTTCTTCTTCTTAACATGAGTCCGATTCCCCACCCCCCCGCCGCCGTCAGACTTCTGGAACTTTTCCCTGCTGTGTGAACACAGCCGAAAGGACAAGTTCCGGTACAAAAGTGGTGTGTCTGAAAACACAGTTCCGGTTAAAAACCGGATTGAATTGTCCACAAATGTTCCAGAATGTCTTTCTGAAAAGGGCATAAACAAGAATCCAAACAGGAACATTGCCTTAGCTGCTTCTGCCTTCACTGTGTAGGGAAGGAGGACTGGAGGCAGCTAGTGGGGGAAAGAGTAAACAAAGTAACCCTACCTAACATCAAAGGCGGGATATCTACAAGTACAGTGGGATGAAAATAAGAAAAAAGGCCTCCCTAGGACAGATTTCAAAATCTGTGTGGAGGATCGCACTGCAGCGTTACAGCATTTCATCACAAGAGGAACTGCAGAAAAAGTGTGCACTCGCACCATCACTCTTTCCTTCCCATTTCTGTTTCCTGTGTTTGGCCCAATGCCGAACCCCCCCCCCCCCCCCCCCCCCCCCCCCCCCCCCCCCACACACACACACACAGAGCAGAGACGGCCTGTTCTGGGGAGAAAAGTGCTGACTCACAGCACAAAGGCAAGCCCAACTCGGTGCAACAGCACATGCCAAACGAACCATCATCACTCTTCTTCATTACACAATAACAATAATATCACCCAACGCGTGCACGCGCGTGTGTGTGTGTGTGTGTGTGTGTAATTGATATGCAGGAAATTGGTTCCCTGCTGAAATACTAAGAGGCTGCACAGAAATATAACAAAATAATGAGCAATAATAAAATTATTTGGACTTTTTTCTCTAATTGTTTTCAGTCCAGTTTGGACCATAGCAGTGTACTGTGTAACTAATAGGGGGCAGCAGTAGCTCAGGAGGTAGAGGGGGTTGTCCAGTAAAAAGGTTGCAGGTTCGATCCCGGCTCCGGACAGAAAATGCCACTGTTGTCTTTGGGCAAGACACTAAACCCACCCTGCCTGCTGGTGGTGGTCAGAGAGGCCGGTGGGGCCTCGCCTCTGTCAGCACACCCCAGGGCAGCTGTGGCTACATCGTAACTCATCACCACCAGTGTGTGAATGTGTGTGTGTGTGTGAATGGGTGAATGATACACTGTAGCTTTGGAGGCCTCTGAAAGGCACTATTCAAGTGTGGTTCATTTATCATTAATGGACAAATCAAGGATGAAGCAAAAACCTTTAGAAATTAAACAATTAACAGGAACAGACCTAAAATGTTCTTTTACTATTATTTCTAAGCAAATAATGTTTGAAAATCACCATAAATACAGTTAAATGTCCGTCAAACTGTGAATTTCAGGCCTTGAGAAAGCTAAAGGAAATCCTGATGGCGACTACTTAAAAACAAATAAGAAAATAAAGAATCACTAAAGACTTTTGTACAGTACTGTGTGATCTCTGTATAGTGTTAACATTAAAATATTTAGAATACAAATACACATTTTCCACATTTCTCTGGGGAAGTGTGCTCATACATAAGAGCCAAGGCTCAATGGCCCTGCCCCTTTTGGACAAAAACAACCCCAAAGCAGAATTGTCCAATAGAAAAAGCTCTGGTTTGTAGCCTATAAAGTAGTGTAATATTCCTGCTGGTTAACAATCAGCAGCTTCATAATCAAGAAATATGCTGAGTCAGTCTAACAGGTTCATAGTGGACACATGACTCATCATTAAAACTCTGGTTTGAAAATATAATCTGGCAACTTTCAGAGATAATAACACTTTGATATCACCATTTTTAATCAGTTTTTATCCCCAAAATGGGCGTGGCTTCTCCAAATTGAAGGAAGTGACGTGACAGCTTTAATCAAGAACCAGTTATTGATTATTAGTCAGCTGCAATATCAACATCACCTACATTAGTACTTACAGTGGTGTGAAAAAACTATTTGCCCCCTTCCTGATTTCTTATTCTTTTGCATGTTTGTCACACAAAATGTTTCTGAACATCAAACACATTTAACCATTAGTCAAAGATAACACAAGTAAACACAAAATGCAGTTTTGAAATTATGGTTTTTATTATTTAGGGAGAGAACAAAATCCAAACCTACATTGCCCTGTGTGAAAAAGTAGTTGCCCCCTGAACCTAATAACTGGCTGGGCCTCTCTTAGCAGCAATAACTGCAATCAAGCGTTTGCAATAACTTGCTACGTGTCTTTTACAGCACTCTGGAGGAATTTTGGCCCACTCATCTTTGCAGAATTGTTGTAATTCAGCTTTATTTGAGGGTTTTCTAGCATGAACCCCCTTTTTAAGGTCATGCCATAACATCTCAATAGGATTCAGGTCAGGACTTTGACTAGGCCACTCCAAAGTCTTCATTTTGTTGTTCCTCAGCTATTCAGAGGTGGATTTGCTGGTGTGTTTTGAGTCATTGTCCTGCTGCAGCACCCAAGATCTCTTCAGCTTTAGTTGACGAACAGATGGCCGGACATTCTCCTTCGGGATGTTTTGGTAGACAGTAGAATTCATGGTTCCATTTATCACAGCAAGCCTTCCAGTTCCTGAAGCAGCAAAACAACCCCAGACCATCACACCACCACCACCATATTTTACTGTTGGTATGATGTTCTTTGTCTGAAATGCTGTGTTACTTCTACGCCAGATGTAACGGGACATTTGCCTTCCAAAAAGTTCAACTTTTGTCTCATCAGTCCACAAGGTACTTTCCCAAAAGTCTTGGCAATCATTGAGATGTTTCTTAGCAAAATTGAGACGAGCCCTAATGTTCTTTTTGCTTAACAGTGGTTTGTGTCTTGGAAATCTGCCATGCAGGCCATTTTTGCCCAGTCTCTTTCTTATGGTGGAGTCGTGAACACTGACCTTAATTGAGACAAGTGAGGCCTGCAGTTCTTTAGAAGTTGTCCTGGGGTCTTTTGTGACCTCTCGGATGAGTTGTCTCTGCGCTCTTGGGGTAATTTTGGTCGGCCACTCACTCCTGGGAAGGTTCACCACTGTTCCATGTTGTTGCCATTTGTGGATAATGGCTCTCACTGTGGTTCGCTGGAGTCCCAAAGCTTTAGAAATGGCTTTATAACCTTTACCAGACTGATAGATCTCAATAACTTATGTTCTCATTTGTTCTTGAATTTCTTTGGATCTTGGCATGATGTCTAGCTTTTGAGGTGCTTTTGGTCTACTTCTCTGTGTCAGGCAGCTCATATTTAAGTGATTTCTTGATTGAAACAGGTGTGGCAGTAATCAGGCTAGGGGGTGGCTACAGAAATTGAACTCAGGTGTGAAACACCACAGTTGGGTTATTTTTTAACAAGGGGGCAATTACTTTTTCACACAGGGCAATGTAGGTTTGGATTTTGTTCTCTCCCTAAACAATAAAAACCATCATTTCAAAACTGCATTTTGTGTTTACTTGTGTTATCTTTGACTAATGGTTAAATGTGTTTGATGATCAGAAACATTTTGTGTGACAAACATGCAAAAGAATAAGAAATCAGGAAGGGGGCAAATAGTTTTTCACACCACTGTAAATGGAATATCAGAAGCATTTTGAGATGATGAAGTTTCAAAACTCCTACTTACCTTTGTTGTTGTAGACGTCTAGATAGTTTGGAGCTGAGAAGATGGTGATAAGAGACGGGAAGCCAGTGGTCTGACTCTTTCTGTACATGCGATATCTGGAGATAGAAAGAAAAGCATGAGCTTATGCTAGATATCAATCAGCCACTGGTTAGCAGCGAGTGGTCACTGCATTTGGGAAGGTGTTTGTCTCAAACTGAGCCCTTTATTTAGAAAACGGATGTATTTTCTTCAACAGCGGACCGCCTTGTTATCCGACATCCGTTGTGGTGAGTTGTTCGTTGTCCAGTAGCGTGTGGCGATCGTTTGAAAGACAACGGTAGAACCCTCCCCAACGACCGAGAGTCGTCAATGGAGGGTTGCCAGACTAAATAATATATTTAGTCTATAATGTATATTTATTTAGTCTGGCTCACCAGGCTAGTGTAGACACACTGTCAGGACAAATATTCCCAACTGAATTATGATTCAGCCCAGTTTAACAACACCCTGAATTAGTAAAATTTTGAAAAGTGTGCTGGATTTGTTGTTTTAAAGGAGGTACAAGCTCTTCCTTTGATTGTTTACTTGATGATGATATTCAGCTAGTGTTTGGAGGCGTCTCGGGGCTGAAGTCCCACCTGAGTCAAGGTGTCTCATGCAAGAGAGTACGATAGTAAACAACTCACTTATCCATCCTCCTGTCTGCTATTATTCAGCCTCTGTTTGATGCTGAAACACCAGGGAAACTGTTACTGCACCTCCTGCCATCTCATGGTTTTCATCTTTCAGCTGCTGTCATCATCTTTAACTTTTCTGAAAAGGAGATCAGTGACGCCTGCGTGACTTATCCATGTTGCGTCACACGCTACCGACTCACCCCCCACGCCAGATTCATTTTCACTTCTTGGATTAGCGCGACCTCTTCTCAAAGATCACAGAGCGCTCATCCTGCTCTCCAGACGAGCTTAGAGGGAAGCCCTCGGGATACTGAAATGCCCAGCCCCGAGAGGCCCTGCTGCTGCTGCTGGGCGACAGTGTGATGTGAGAGAGACAAAATGCCACGACACTCACCCAGCATCCTGTGCTTCGTGGGCCCGGATGATGGATAATAAGTTATTGTGTTGTAGAAAGTCACAGACTGCAGGGTAGCTGTTGAATAAAGACACATTCAGTTTACTCATACATCTAGAAAAATCCCTGTAAGCCCAAGGAGAACGATCAATAAATAAAAAAATAAAGCCAAAGGTTTATTGATTGCACTCAAAGAAAGAGTGGACAAACAACAATGAGCGCAAGCTAAAGGCATTCTAAGACCCACCGCAGCTCTTATTAAATTAAATATTTAGTGAAAAGTGTTTCTGATAGCCTCTAATCTAATGGTTACTTATTGCACATGCAATAAACTGAACTTTTTAAAAGAAAAGTTGCTGTGTGTGTGTGTGTGTGGTCGGGTGCTAAACCCATAAAACATGATACAATGTGCAACAAGTGCTTCAGCAAGAAGTCATTAAAATCACAGAGCACGTCCGAGCTCGGGAGCCGTGGGATGTGTTTTTCTTATTTTTATAAGTGACTGGCAGCTGACATGAATGCTGCTCTACAGCTGAAACACTTGAATGTGGGAGGATTTTCTCCCGTTCAAACACAGGGGCTAATTTAGAGCTTTAACATAACAGCCACTCAAGATTTTGCAGCATTCAAGATGAAGACAGTTTTAAGGTTTGTGTGAGGAAAAAAACAGGACATGAAATCAACGCCAAAATGCATTAATTTGTTTTGTTTTTAAAAAAGATACCACGTTTGACTTTTGGTCTCTTTGGGTTTGTGTCATTATTTCTACGTAGATTTCTGACGTGACGCAATAGTGAAAGTAAAATTTATATATTCAAAAAGAATATTTTTAACTCTAAAACACCAAATGTACCACATTTGATTAAGCTGTTTCACAGATTTCTACCTCTTTCACAGCATTGATGGTTTAAAGACCCCTGACGTTAAACCCTGATATGTTGTCAGCCATCTTCTGTTCCAAATCCTGATAGATGGAAGCCCAAAGGTAAACTTTACTCATATTTTAATACATTGCAGTGGTCTCTAGTAGGAATAAATGCCTTGTCGGTTGTTCCCTGGGGAAGAAAAGCTTTGGTGCACCTGTTTGAGGAAGTAGAAGTCAGCTGGAGGAGAAAGTAGCTTCAGACGACAGGATTTGGAAACTTATTTCCTGATATTTGGACATTTCACCTCTGATTGGATAACAGCATTGCAAATCTACCACTGACTCTGTTTAGTTTGCAACATTGATGTTTTATCTCCACAAATAATACAAGCCTGAAGGAGTTCTGCTGTGTGGAGAAGTTGCTAATGCTAATGGTTAGCTTCTGATAGTCAAGACGTTCTCTGCTGTTTCCTGGATGCTAAACCAACAAAAGCCTTCACCGTCATGAGTCGAGATGGGTGAGTTCATGAATGTTAGGTGACAGTGTGACGTAGATCTGTCAGGACTTTCTGAACAGAGTACTTCTATCAGCAGCTAATGCAGGAAATAGGGGTAGAAGACCATGCTATCAATCACCTTCTGTTCCAAATCCCGTTTGATGGAAGCCCATTCTGGTATAATTACAGCTGGTATAATTCAGGGTCTGCATCCTTCGTCGGCCGGTTACGTCACAGTGTCGTGACTAGGCCTGTCCCAATTCAAAGACTCCTTCAAATGCGGTCGACGAATTCGGCCTTCTTTTCGCCTGTATGAAGGATGGGTCCGGTGTATCCTTCAATGGTTTACATTTCCCTAGATGCCTTGTGGGCCGGACAGCAGAACTTTTAAAAACAATGGCGGACAGTGAAGCGGGAGCTGTCGGAGAGGATTGCTCTCAGAAAACACCCTCAAATGCACTCTGTGAGGAGTTTGCAGCCCACTTCAAAGGGAAGGTAGACACCATCAGACGGAATATTTTATCCTCCATAAGTAATAAGGTTTTAGATAAATCTGAACGTGTGTCTATACCAGAGGAAACACTGGACAGCTTTGTCCTGGTAGAAGCTGAGACTCTTAACAAAGTTTTCTCCTCAGCGAGACCCACCACATGTGTTCTGGACCCAATTCCAACTTCGTTCTTTAAACAATTTTATGGATCTTTTAGTGATGAGATTTTAACCATGATGAATTGCTCACTTCAGACGGGGGTCTTTCCTGCTGCCTTTAAAAGGGCGGTGGTGAGGCCCCTGTTGAAGAAGAGCAATTTAGATTTTAATGAATTAAACAATTATCGACCGGTATCCAACTTACCATTTTGAAGCAAAATTTTAGAAAAGTTGGTTTTAAATCAACTAAATGATTTTATAAATACTAATAAGGTCCTAGAGAAATTTCAGTCTGGTTTTAGGGTGAACCACAGCACCGAGACAGCCCTTCTGAAGATTTTAAATGATTTTAGAGTAAATTATGATAAACAGAAGTTGACAGTGTTGGTTCTACTGGATCTAAGTGCTGCCTTCGATACAGTAGACCACACTATTCTTTTAACTCATTTACAACAGATCGGCCTCTCTGGTGCTGTACATAGATGGTTCACATCCTACCTTACAGACAGGACTTTCATGGTGAGTTTGGATACCTGTTCCTCTAGGGTCCATGGGATTACATGTGGTGTGCCCCAGGGTTCAATTTTAGGCCCAGTGCTTTTTAATCTTTATATGCTCCCTCTTGGCGGAGTCATCAGGAGACACGGGGTTAACTTTCACAGTTATGCTGATGATACACAGTTGTACATCTCCGTGTCTCCTGATGACTCTCGGTCAATGGATGCACTTTTTAACTGTATTTTAGACATTGAATCCTGGATGGCAGAGAACTTTCTCCAGCTCAACCAGGACAAACTGAAGTTTTAGTAATTGGTCCTGAGGCCCAGAGAGAGAAGCTTTTACCGAAATTACAATCTCTGTCTTTTAATCCATCTGAACAAGTGAAGAACCTGGGTGTGATTTTTGACTCTGAGCTGACTTTTATTCCACACATTAAAAATATCACAAAAATTGGTTTTTATCACCTAAAGAACATCGCCAGAGTCCGCCCCATTCTCTCTCGGGCCAATACGGAGATGCTGATGCATGCTTTTATCACCAGTAGAATAGACTACTGCAATGCCCTGCTTTCTGGTCTTCCCAAAAGAGCATCTCAGGCTTACAACTCCTACAAAATTCGGCAGCACGTGTCCTGATGAAGACCAGGAGGCGGGAGCACATGACACCGGTTTTAGAATCATTGCATTGGCTCCCCGTATGTTTCAGGATCAATTTTAAGGTTCTTCTAATGGTTTTTAAGTGTCTTAACGGTCTTGGGCCTTCTTATCTATCAGAACTGCTTTTACAATATGAACCCTTGCGGCCTCTGTGCTCCTCTGGCAGGTGTCTCCTGGTCATCCCTAAAGTCAGGACACAAACTCACGGCGAGGCGTCCTTCCAGTGTTATGGCCCTCGCCTCTGGAACGAGCTGCCAGAGGACCTCAGGGCCGCAGAGAACGTTCATGTTTTTAAGTCAAGACTCAAGACCCATCTTTTTAGGTTAGCTTTTATCTAAATATTTTCTACAGTTTTATTTCTCGTTTTACATGATTCTATTTTATTACTTGCTTTGCATGTTCTATATAATTATATTTTAGCACAGTTTTTTTATTAAATTATTATTTTACTGTCTATATCATTTTATTTATTACTTATTTTCTAATTTTTGTCATTTATATTAGCTCTTTTATTACATTTTTACTCATTTTAATCCAGTGTTTCCTCTGTGGGGGCCCTCTGCCCCGGGAGCGGTGGTCGACTGAAGCTTCCTGGGCGCTCTATAGGTGGGGGTCTATGCTCCCCCTCCACTGAGCGCCCTGACTTAGTGTGGAAGACCTGATGCTGCCGGGGCAGACGGCTTCTCTGATGGCGTTTCCTTGCGTTACCATACTTGGCACATCTGGACTCAGCCTAATATAATTTTTACTTGTGTGTGTGAGTCTGTGTGTGCGTGTGCTTGCATATGCTTGTAAATGTTTTTAACCTGTTATGGGAATCTGGGGTCATTTTGTAAAGCACTTTGAATCACACTTTGTTTGAAAAGCGCTTTAGAAATAAAATTTGATTGATTGATTGATTGAAATGTCAGTATAAACTTGAAAACTGTTAGGTTAAGGTCTTTTTGTGATACATGAACGTTAATTTAGTTAGAAATGTTACAGTAAAAGTGCTTGTATTGCGGTCTCGGCTCGTATGTTCGGCCGCGCTCTGTGTCATACTTCTCCCGCTACGTTTTCCCTGATTTTAATAGAAGTTTGTATTTTAGGGACAAAAGAGAAAACCAGGGAATTTATTAAGCTTAGGGCAGAGATGGACCACATGATCACTGGAGCAAAGTATTCGGCGGCTGTGGCATGGAGGTACAATAACATCTCATATTTTTAAAAACTGTCGTTTGAGTTTAGTTTTTTCTGCGAAAACATGAAAGGAGTAACCTGTTGTCCTCTTTTCTCTTCCTGTTTTTTTTCTTACATGTTTGTTAAGACTTTTCTGGAGAAAATGTGCATCCAGGGGAAGGTGACAGCGATGACCAGCTTCTGGAGCTGATCAGGGAGGACATGAGGCTGCAGAGGGAGGCAGAGGGCACAGGAGAGAAGGGAGAATTTTGACAGGCTTGCTAGAAAAAAATGGTTGAGAAAGATTAAACATGTACATATAAAAGAAATATCTAAATAAAATCAGCTCTATTAAACTCTTGAATTTTATTTTTGTTGACAACTGTGAATTGTTTAATATTACAGGGTATCCGCTGGGTCTTGAAAAGTCTTAAAATGTGATAAATCGGTTTTGGTCAAATTAAGACCCTTAGAAAGTATTAAAAACTATTATCACATCTTTGCTCAGGCTCAGCTTGTTGAAAGTATTTTCTCTGAATTAGCTCTCCAACAGTCAAGGAAATGATTAAAAAGCTAAATAAAACTTTGAGCTCCATCGTTTGAAGTTTCTTCTCCCTTCTGCTCAGCGGTTCCACGGTTGCTAGGCGACAGAACGTTCGCCGAGGGAGTGACGGGAATTCATGAAGGCTAGGCCTGTCCAAATTCACAGCCGCTAACATCCGATTTACTCGGCCGACAGAGGACCCAGCCCAC